CCCACTTATGGCCTGTGCACTTTATGCTTGGACCATAAAAGCCAGTGGAAAAAACTTGGTTCATGACTCTCAGTAGAGACCTCGAACTCAGTTAGTAAGAGGTATTTATACCTAAATTTACTTTTTAGGATTTACTTAATCCACATTCATTTAAAGTGGAGCATTTTTAGCTAATAGATCAGTAATTCATTTGCATTTACATGTAACTTTTGCTATTATTAATAGAGCTGAATTCCAATGTGACATCCCTGGTTGTGGAGAATGGTTTTCTAGTGTTCCAAGGTATTAATTAAACTACTTCTAAATATTAAGAAATTTTGAATTTTAGCAAATGAAGTGAGAAATGGATTTTGTCTGAAATTTGATCAGCTTAGAGACTGGTACAAGTTTTTTAGGCCTGAATCACAGAGTAAGGTGAAGCAAAACCAGCCAATCCAGGATTGCTTTTGTCACTCAGTTTAAAATAACTCTAATATCAGATTTTTTAAAACAACAACACAATGAAAGTTGATTATTTTATTTGTTTTCCCTGTGTTTGTACTATATTTAATGTGAGACTCAAAGATTATAGTGACATCATTGAATCTTTATCATTTTCAATCTTTGTAGCTATGAGGCACACTATAACAGCCTGCATCGTCACTGTTGTCAAAAATGTCAGCGCTCTTTTCCATCAACTCACCTGTTGGAGATTCACATTCTAGAAAACCATGACATGTTATTCAACATGATAGCCATGAGGAAAAACTTGGTAAATAGTTGTTTCTATTAATGTTATTAATCAGTATGGGCATAGACTTGTTTAGGTGGGGTGGCATATGCGATGAAGACTTGAGAGAGAGACTATAGCAAATGGGTGAGATACTCCCTCTGAGATTGTGTTTGGTGAGGCCTATTTATAATGATAAATGCCAAGTCACTGATGTGGCCTTGTCCTAGAGTGAGACAGACACGTACACTGTATGGGGTTGTGAATCAGAAAGATTGAATATGGTTTTATCAAGATACAGTTACAGTTACATTTGCAGCCAACAATACATATTGCATTGTATCTAGGTGATGTAATTGGTTACATGTATTCAAGATCATGACCTTTGTTTTGAAACTTTTCTTTTTCTGGTACTTTGTAGTATAAGTGCCTAGTGGAGAGTTGTCCTGATAGATTTTCAAGTGATGAGGAGAGGAAGGTAGGAGCTTGTTAACAAATCATCATTTAGTATGTGCTTTCAGTGAAGCAGAATGCTTTTCTATTTTTATTGATCAGATGATAATTAGAATTATCATCACTATCAGTATTAAAATAATGGTAATTCTTTCTTTTTACTCATAAGGATCATCTAGTATCTCTTCACAAGTATCCATCAGACTTCAGATTCAACCGTCCAAGCAGACAACAGCGAAAAAGCAAAAGGTTTGAAAATTCTTTTGATCTGCAACCAATGCTTTAATGGAAACACAGTTCCTTTTAGTAAGCATTTGATTCTAGAATTTACAAACTAGTTTCGACCTCCTTAACTTAACATGGTCACAACAAACAGCTTCACTTGTACAAGGTAGGTATGTTGTTGTCAAGAGCAAACCACATATTGTTAGGCAAATTATCCCCAAATAATCTGCCAGATCTTGGAGGATGAGCTTTTGTGTAGGACGTTGCCTAATACTCATTGAACTTTCAACAAGGAATTATCATCTCAGGTTTATTTGATTATTTGATAATTTTACATGTATGTTTCTTTCTAAGCACTGAAATTTTCCCCTCAAATAATCTTACCATCATCAATTTTCCTTTTTTCTTTTTTCTCCTGTGGAGATCTTAGCATTGATCCTGCTCTAAAAGTTTCTTTAGTTAGTCTTAAGAAGATAACTAGTGAACTTAGTCCTCAGACCATGCTGGACATTTTTTGTTTTGTGCATCACCTTGCATTTGTAAATTAGTACAAGGCAGTCAGTAGAAAGGAAATTAAATAAATACAACCATCAGCGATCATGGAAGTAAATCTTTGATTTCCCCTCTTAAAAAGATTTCACTCACAGTTCAGAAGACTGTGAGATGTGGGAGACTCTCACTTAAATGAAGGGGAGTTGGCATAAATGGTTAGTTTAGCCATGCTCTCTTATGGGTATTGTGGTGAAGTTGATGAAGGGTTCAATTTTTTTGCTTATTTGCAGTATGCAAACTTCGCCCGAAGCAATGGACACATCTACCCTACCTCAGGTTAAGAAATGAGTGAAATTGAATTTAATTTCAGTTAATATTATTCTGCATTACTCTTTTGCAAAATGATTAGTTTCACATAAGTTATGGGGATTTACTGAAGATGTTCAAGCAATTATATCCTTTCAAGGTTCTTAATGCATTCGTTTTGCCACTTACAGACTGAAATATTACTGATCTACATTGTACATATGTATTTTATTTGATAGCATCATAATAAAAAATGAACTTATAATAGTTATCCATACTTGTCAAGTATGCCGTAATTCTAACGATAGCTAATCAGTTTCTATTAGAATGTTAGCTTTGACTTCTTATGTGGTTTAATATTTGTCAATTTAGAAACTGCACTCTCTTTTGTAGGAACCTGCACCCTCAGTCAACACAGCACCAAAACAAAGGTTAATGAACATTTTATGATTACCTTTAAATTAAAGAATAAATTTGAAAAGGGTCAAAAGCTGTTTAGTGGTAATTATTATTTTTTTCAACAGTATAGTTCCAGCATCTGTACATGCATTTAAGACCTTTTGATGTGATGTTATCACAAATTTTAGTTTTAATGTGAATAAGATTTAGGTACAGGTCATGTACCTTTATTAATTGTTAGATTTAGCTTAGCCTGTGTTGTTGATCTGCATTATACTGGTGTCAATTATGTAACCAACTTCTTGGAAAACAATGAATTCAAAAGATTATGTCATGAGTTGTAATTGAAAAGATAAGCATTTAATTTCTCCCATCCATAGATTGTCTAGCAAACAGGTAATGAGAATACATCTACTCAAACTTAGTAGAAGTTATCTTGATCTGACACCAACTAATTTACAAGGAAAAGTGTAGGAGCTAGAGGGGAGAATTTAAAATCAGTTCTTGGGACTTTAAAGGTTAACCAGTATTGCTAGATTTAAAATTGTCACATACACTGTAACCTGCACCTCCCCACTACCTGCAGCAACAGTTGTTTACTGTCAAATTAAAAGATTACTTACAGGTAATAAGTCAGAAATTTTGGTGAGTGTGATCTTGAGCCACAGGGTTTGCAGGTTAATGAAAGAAGTTACTGTATGTACACATGTTGTAATTTAGTGTGTAACATAGATTGAGCATGGTTGTTCTTGTTTTCACCCCAGGCTACCAAAGACAATATGCTTTGGCAGAGGGTCCAGCAGGGCTTTCCAAAAAAGTATCCCAAAAAATAGCAAGAAAAAGTCCAAAAACTTGGATGATATACAAGACCAAGCTGCTTCTCAAGAGGTAGTTAAAAACAGTAAAATCAATTGCAATCAAGCTTGTTGCATCTAATTTACTTTATAATTACATTCGACATTCAAACCTCATAAACACTGAGTGAACTTGTACTGCAGCATAATTGTTGTGCAGCTGCATGCATACTCTGTCCATGATGCATTGAGTTGCAAATGATTTGGTAAATCTTCACTTTTGCTAAATGCCTTCCTCACGAAGTCAGAGTAACTGATCTTTAAAAATTTCAGAAGGAAAATAACTAGTCTACTTCTTTTCTTTCTGGAAGAATTCAAAGAATTCTTTGTTCTAAATACAACTGATATGACTAAATTACCATTGTAAATTGGCTTCCATCCTAATTAATTTGTAAAGCTATTTCTACCATATTATGATTAAACCAGGGTAATGTACAATCTTGTTGTATTTTGCAGGTTACAATGGCTGAAGTGAGCTGACTTATGTAAACAGTTCCTTCTGAATTGAGATAGCATGTTAATGATAACTTCTCTTTGAAGTCAAATTTATGTTTAAATGTACAGTTTTTGTCAGAAATTTATAATAAAATATTACCTTTAATAAATTTAACCTTATGGAAGGTGGTTGAGAACAAGTACTGAAGGAATGTGTATATAAAAGGTGTGGTATTCTGCAAAAAAAGTGAAATATAGAGGATCATTAGAAATGTTATTTTCAACATTCTTCATGAGACAATGCTTAGAAAAACAATTCTGGAGAATGTACAAAATGACAGGTGTTTCAAGTGTCTTTACCAATAAACAGATGTCTTCCCTCAGTGCACCAGCCTGCAGCTTTACACCACACCCTCCCTCCCCCCCCCCCCTCTATATGTCTTAGAAAGAATTGCAAACTGGGAAAATGTTAAAAATATATTAACTTGATATCATGAAGTACTTTTAATGCTCATACTGAACCTATATTTAAGCAGTTGAAAGTTCTTAATCTATACAATATATATTGATTTCAAATAGGAAAGATCATGTTTTTGTTAAAGATAAGCCATCTTCTTGATGCTCTAAAAATATTATTTTTGTTTTCATGTCACAATCATTGTGACAATCATTACATATCCCCTTGCAGAACAAACATCCAACAGTTTGTGTTATGTTTCCAGGGACCTAAATTTTACAATTCTCTGAATATAGAAATCCAAAATGATGGCACTTTCTGTTTGAGTATAAATTGTGAACATTACTCCTAAGTTAACTCCCTTCTTATTCTTCTTGATTTGTTAATTTATTTTTTATTTTTTTTCTTACTTTTCTCACCCTGCGGAAGTATATGTTTGTTTTGAGTGCCTGCTATTGTTGTTGCTGTTTAATGTGTGTGTGCCCTTTCCTTTTAAACCAAAAATATTTTGAACCTAAATTATGCCATAAAAACTGAAAGATACCTCACTTTAGTAAAATATGAAGAGGCTGTAGCTCGCACAAGCCTCTTGGTTTCCCAACGTGTTTCCTTGCCTCATGCTTAATCTTCAGCTGTATCATATTAATGTATATGTAACTCTTTTATTTCTACTGATGTATTATAATAAATGGCAAAATAAATAAATTGACAAATTATAAATGTGGGGGTAGAGTCTACCTTGGCATAAAGTGCTCAATGCTGTGGTAGCAAGTTCTGCCTGATGAGTGCTTAGGCGCGAAACTCAGAGTAACAGAGAATTGATGCTTCCTCTTTGATTCTTTCACTAATATAAATTAACTAATTATTTATTTTTGTAAAATATGAGGAGTCTGTAGCTCACATAAGCCTCTTGGTTTCCCAATGGGTTTCCTAAATCTTCAGCTATAACACATTAATGTATATGTAATTCCTTTTTTATTTCTACAGATGTATTATAATTACAAAATGGCAAAATAAAAAAAAAATAATAAAATAATGAACAAAATTGATAAGTTTCTGACAAGCTTTTTTAAATGCTGAAGCTTCATAAATTGTTGTCAGCAAAACAAACAAGGAGGAGTTGACTACTGTCAAAAGTGATCTAGGGGGCTCTCTGGTGTGCTGTGCCCCCAAAATGAGACATGTTTCCTGACAGGATGTGCTGGGGCAGGCTTCCTGTGGTGTACACCCTCATTTAAGTCTTCCTGGATTCAATTGAACCATCCCAGGGTGGTTTACAGTTAGTGTAAGAATCATTTTAAAGCTAACTACACAAAAAAGTATACACTTAAATTATAAAAGGTGTTGAGTTTAGCTTTCTTAATGATTTTGTGAAAAATCTGTTTACAGAAATAAATAATTTGACTGTCAACATTCAAAAACCATCATTGCATGTAGATGTATATAGTGGAATATTTTATATTGCATCATGGTGACCTTGATCTAATAGGTTCTTATAGAACAGTTCAATAGCAGCCCACTGCCGAGAGGCAATAAGTATGTGAGGTCTTTTACTCTTGACGTATTGGTAAGCATCCATTGGTTGTAACCTTTTGGCCTACAATCCAGAACAAAAGAAAATAAAACTAATTAGGAGAGTAAGGGAGCGTTAAAGTGTAGATTGCTAATGGTAAACTACAATGTAGTAAATTTTACTGCTCTTGTTACAAAACCTGTTCACTGCCCTGCTCTGGAATGAACTTCTCTGTAATTCAGTCTGTATTGCTGTTGGTTTTGAAAGCACTTTGGAACATTGGTTGGGTAGGGGGAACTTCAAAAATGACCTGTGATGGTAAGGAGACATGAGGGGGAAAACTTCCCCATTTCCCACCCTTAACCCCTCATGGCATTGCCATTCAATGCATCAAACAACTACCCACTCTATATACAGGCCATTCTTCAGCACTGGCTTAATAGATTTTTTTTTTGACAAGAAAATTTACATTATCTGGATCTTGCTCTCAAATAGAAAAAAACTGCAGGTGTGTGATAGGTTTACAATTTTTATAAAAAAAATTGAAGGGAAAGGATGTCTACAGGTACTGGAGACCACAACATATCTGTTTACCAAGATAAGAAAAGAGTAGATGCAACAATAAACCAAGAAGAAAAGATTGATGGCAGAGAATGGAGAATATTGGAATGCTGATACAAAAAATTTTGGCAAAAAATGTCCAAGATCAGTGCATTAACTCAGTAAGGGTTTTGATTAAAGCCAGTTACCAGACTGTGCTCAACTGCCTCCTATTAGACCACTTTCTGTCATCTATTAATTTCCCCTCAGAGCAGGCTCTAAAGTTGGGTTTTGACCTTATGGCTCCTTTTTGGACACATCTGTAGAAAATCTCTTTCATTTTTGACTTTCAAATTACAATATTATTTCTCTCTTCCTCTCCCCCCTTTGAATTCTTTTTTTTTTTTTTTTTTTTTTCCATGTACAATGCATGCGATTTTGCAAAGAACTCTAACGTTGACATTGAAAACTGACATGGACATTTTTTGTGTACTTTTGTTGTTTGTTGGTCAGTTATTTTTTTAACTTTTGTTTGTGCAAATTTGTTACCCCTTTCTTTGGAATTTTAAGAAGTTTTGGAGTTTTTATTTTAGCCAAATGTGGTGACTCATTTCACAAGTTTAATAAATATTTTCGGATCAACATCAGTATCTGGGCAACTGCTCACCTACCCCTCCCCTAACCCAACAACAGTCTATTGATAACAAGTTAGAGTTAATGTTGGGTTAGGGGAGGGGTAGGTGGGCAGTTGCCCAGATATTGATATTGATCCATATTTTCTATGAAGTTTGAACTCTAGTCTCCTTTTTTCATAGATAGATTTTTTAACAACAGCCACCTACCACACTATCAACCCTTTAACTCCTGGATCAAATTTGTAATTCTCCATACTGTTAACCACACAATTCTTAAAATGTTAGTTCAGAGAATTTAGTGTTGAATCAACTAATTATCCCAAAATTGTTATTTTTCTTTATTCTCAACCCTTACCTGGTTGATGTTGTACTGATATTGTGAGGAGAAATTCATCTTGGTCACTCAAGGGAGTTAGAAGGTCAAGGAAAAAGGTTCTTGAAACTGAACTGCACAGTGAAATGGCTTCTGTGAGTATCACTAAATGCTAGCTTTATTTAATAATTAAAAGTAACTTCATACTTTACCTTCATAATGTAACATGTTGCAAGTGTGGCACTGCGTCCCCTGCCTGCCTTGCAGTGAACATACACGCTGTTTTGGTTCTGGTTCATTTCTTCAATGAATTCAACTCCTTTTCTTAGCATCTCTTGGGACGGTGCATTATTAAAATCCACTGTAGCCAAGTGCAACTGAGTCACTCCCCAACTTGCCCATTCCTGTCCCCCAAACAAAATACCGGCAAAGCATTAAGTTGTTTCCATATCTTACTATCAAATGAATAAGCCATGTGTATCACAAAAAGCAATTTATGCAATTGCAGAAAAAAGGCCTGTGAAAAAAACCTTAAAATCTGTGCTTCCCAGGTTAGTTTAGGGCACTACAACCAACCACTTGTTGGGAGTGGGTTACATTTTCAAGCAGTGTTCTTTTTTCCTGTGGAGGAATCTGATCATAATTTTTAATGAAGTAAATTTCATTTGATCACGTAACAGAAAAAGTTGGATTACCCACCAGAGGTTAGGGGTATGCATATATACAATGCATATAGCATGGTAAGAGTTGCAGTCCAAAACACAGGATATTGGCAGTGTTCTACCTTATTTTAAGCATGACAGGTAAAATAAATTTTCAAACCGGTAAAGTAATCCTTTTACAAGTTGAATTTTCAAGAATTCCAAGCAATTCTAAATGGTAATAAGAGGTACTACAGGCAGTAAATGTTACCAGTTACTGCCTGAAAAGGAGAACATTGATTGGTCAGACAGAGTGACAGTCTAAGTCACACTATCCACAAAGAGACAATAATGTCGCATTGATCAGATTATGTCTATGGTTTCTATGTCTTTTCTTGCTAAGAGTATTTAAAACCAGTTTGATTCTTATCTCCCTCTGTTTCAGATTAAAATAGTAAATACAAGCTTAAGAAAAATAAAAGAAAACAGGGATTTAGAAATTTGTAAACCAAAGACAAAAGGTTTACCCTCATCAACCACCTTAGGCAGTGACTTATCACTCAATGAGGAATTGATAATTGGCTGTCAATTATTGACTTTGTTACTTTCTTTGTTAACAAAAAACCTGTTATAAGGTTTCTTGATGGTGTAGCATTTTGTTGTTTGTTTGTTTTTTGTTTCTTTATCCCTTACTGTCATATGTTACTTCCCACTGAGGTCTCTTCTAGACTACATGGATCATTAATTTTAGGGAGCATAATAATCAACACACTTGCACCTATTGTTATTGTTTGTACCTCTTTGCTGTTGGAAAAGTATCGTAATTCATAGTCTTCATTCATGGTTACTACTCCTCTGACATTTTCATTTTCCACCAACTGCAAATGATAAAACATTAATTGAAAAGTTGTAATCATTTATTTCATCGTGAAACAAAATTGATTCTTTAGCATACAAAATTTTTTGCTATTTTATAACAAAATAATTTGAATGAGTTATCAGTATATCAATCAGGATTATCATTAGGATAGCAAGAGTTTCCATCATTCACCAAAGATTTCAACTAATAATTGAATGGCTATATCTAGTTACAGAACCCAATGATTCATGCAGCAGATCCAGTGAAGAAGATAAAGATGGATCAGCCATGTACAAATAGAATCCAGCAATTCAGCCCTACTAAGAGTTGCCCTCTGATGGACTCCTAATGATCGACAAAAGAGAGGCCACCTTGAGGAAACTTGGACAAGAATCATAGAAAGGGGAACTTGAGAGACACAGGTTAGACATAGGGGCAATTTGACTGACTGGCATCCAACAGAAGGCAATGGCATTCTCTAGCTAAGGTCTTGCATGCATATGCATGCAAAGAAGACTAACTACTATTGGTAAATTTAATCCCTTGGAGCAGTCTGGTAAAGCAAAGGCCATTACAAAACAGGGTTATCAGTTGAGGCACAGTTACACTAATCCTGTTTTTAAAAAAAGAAATCGCTAGAAAAAATTGCTTTGACGAAAGGCTAATGCTCGAAATGTCAGCTTTTAAACTCTTTACAGTGGCCAATTTACATCATCAACTCAGTTGATAATACTTAATTACCCTGTTTAATATCCTCCCACTGACACAGCACCACAGTTTCTTTAGACACTAACCCCCTTTTAAAAAAATAGTTGAACACTGGCCAGGGTGTTTACATGTGCTTTTCTTAACCCTTTAACTCCCATGAGTGACCAAGACAGAATTTCTCCTTACAATGTCAATACAATATCAAGCAGATAAGTGATGAGAAAAAAGAAAATATAAATTAGGGGATTATAAGTTGATCCAATACCAAATTCTCCAAACTAACATCACAAGAACTGTACGGTAGACAGTAAGGAGAATTACTAAAGAGATCTTGGGAGTTAAAGGGTTAGTTGTGCACAGCTACATGGAGGGTGCATTCATTAAGTTACCTTTGCCGACATGAGCATGATTCCATCTGCCAAAGCTATCTTTGATGATGATGATGATCACTACACAGGATACATTTGAATTCGTATAATACCACGTAGGTACAAATATTTACACTTTTCTTTTGACCAAAGGAAATAATGAGTGTATAACAAATATTGTTAACCCAGTTTCAAGTGAGGACTCTAGCAAAAGAACATATCTCGAATTCCTATCAAATTACAACAGTTTGGCTGTTGATAAAGATGTTAAATGAGTGAGTTAGAGATGATCCCGATGAATACTTTCGAATTAAGAAGGAGGAAAGAGAGGGGAAGAGGGAATTCATAGTTGTGTAAATTAGTTTCTCAAGATACCCTTAAACAAATAATACATGTAAGAGCTCTTGAAATTACTTACTTCTTTGGTTTGACTCTTAAACGGCAAAGCACCCAAGAGGATGTGTGTGTCTATACGATCATACCATCTTTTAGTCGAACTCTCTGTTACAATTCCCCAGAGAAGAGAAGGGTAAAATGCCACTCTCGCAAATAGTGAAGAGCTCATCATCTCGGGAAAGTTCCGTAAAAACAACCCCAAATTCAACAGGTTTCCGAAGAGTAGAAGTTACTTCTCCGCACAATCATTCGGAAAGGAAATATGACAGCCACCGAGAACAGGAAGTATATTATTCTGCTCCAGTGTAGCTGGAAAGTGAAAATTCCCAACAGGAACTAAAGAATCGGGGAGCGATGTTATGTAAGAAGCAAATTACGTCATTCCTCCCAGGCCCCTCACGTCTCAAGTCCCTGATCCTTTGCGGTCGTGTAAAAATAAAAACAAAACAAAGAGTTTACCAGGTCAACCACGAAGAAAGTATTAGGGAAAACTACGGTTGATTATCCTGGAAAGATAAAAGAGTCAAAGGAAGAAGTCTTAAAAAGGTACAAGAAAGCGATATTACAAGTTTCGCTGGTAAAAATTGCGTGACTAGCTCATTTTTTTTAGGTCATTGCGTGACACGCATGAGAGACCAATTCTGTAAGATCAGCAAAAATTGTCCATTTTTTCCGTAGAATTTTTCGTGTTAATCGTTTATAAGAATATGGAGTCTTTATTTTGCGCAACTAGGTACTTCTGCTGCCTTTAATAACATGATGGAGGATTCTCAAGCTGAGAAAAGGAGGCTATCATTTAAAGACGCTTTGTTAAATAAATACAGCGAAGACCAAAGTGATGAAGAGTTGTGCTTTATACACATAACCGGCTCTCCAAAACAAAAGGGTGAGTTTGTTGGACACTAAAAATTTAATTTTAAAAGTGGTCGGAAAGATTTCCATCTGACCCCATACGATTATAAAACAAGTCGGCTACCATGAGGAGTTTCCAAAGCTGACGTATCGAGCGCTAGCTCTTCGTCAGAGCGAATTGGGTTTAGCGAAGGGGTAACGTTCGAACTTTAGTAACTCTTAACGGTGTTCATTTACATTATCAACTCGGTTGATAAAACCAAGTTTTCTTGCATCACCCCCACTGATGCAGTACCACAGTTTCTTAGGAAACCTATCCCTTCTATTCTAAAACAAAGCCTTGGTCCATATGGTAATTCATTGTTTTTCCATTGTCGTCTTTTCTCCAATACTGAATGCATAATGAAGGAATTCGTCTTGTGCGAACTCTTTCCAGATATTCATTCAGATTTTAAACTTGGCCATATTTACATCGATGTTCTAGAACTTTATGTCGATTGTTCCATCCAAAGAAATACATAAAACAGTGGATGATTAGGGTCACTTTATTTCATTTACCTGGAAAATGCTACCAGTTGTGCCACTTACTAGCCATATTTGCATTTATAATTCAACGATCGGTAGTCAGCGGATCGTCTGTTTCGTTATCACAAGAAAGTTATGCCATAATAGGAACAATTTTCTACTAAATCTAGAGTGTCCTTTGCTTCAGAGACTAAAATTTGATTTGCTTATTTCTCATGTGATTAGCTTATGACAAATCTCCATATTTCTTTTGAATCAAATAATTATTTTATGTTGTTATACACTTTGGCAACATGAAACACCAAGAATAAGTTTACCTTTTTTTTTTCAATTGTTTTTCTTTTCCTTTGTGTAGTATTTGTGTTTGATTGGTTGTTGTTGATGTTGTGGCTTTTTCTTTCCATTTACATGGTCCTTAATTCAATATGAACCTGTTTCAGGTGGCACCATTTTAAGCAGTCACCCTGTCTTAAGCAGTCCCAAATTTCTTTACCCTTAGTTACTGTAATTTTCACCATTTTAAGCGGTCACCTCTGTTAGGTTGATTGTGGTCACCCTTTATTGAGTCCTAGAGGCCTTTTTGTGTTAATTTCCATCAGTAATGAACGGTCACTTAAAGCAGCACTACTCAAAACTAAGAGTGATCTTTCAAGGAAAATGTAATCCATATTTATCTCCTAAAATCTATGTAAGCAGTATTTCTGAGCGAGTTTTTGTACATTTTATGGTCAATTATAGCATAAAATGGCCTTTTTATCTTATTTCTCTTGTAACCTGTTCTGTGGAACCTGCACAAAGCAGTCAACCTTTATTAAATGCCCCCATTCCCTGTGGGTGACCACTCAATACAGGTTCCACTGAATTTTTAGCATGCTGCCAGTCTGAGTGTCTTTTTAGTGATAATTAAATAGTTGTCTGTCTTACTGAATTTATCAAGAGTTCCTAATTCTAACTTGTAATTTCAGCCTCTTTTGGCCAGTCAGAACACTTTCACAAGAGAATCATAACTCTTGATGACTGTGGTATCAACTGTGCTGGTCCAGTTGGAGAGATTGCATCCATGTGTCCAAATGTAGAAGAACTTGATCTGGCCAAGAATGACCTTTCTGACTTTCATGAGGTGAGATACATGTAAATGCATTCTGTTTGTTTCAAGTAATAATCACATTTCTTTTATAGATATCAGTGTAATAACAGACTTTCTTTTGTTTCAAAAGCAAGATATCCTCCCCACATGCAGTGAAGGTACCCTATATATTATCATAATAGCTGTTTCTACTTTTACTGTAGGGTCTTTTTATATTTACTGAAATTATTAAGGCTGAATTTAACTTTTTCCCCATCCATGGGAAATAGCATTGCTCTTGTTTAGTTTTTAGAGCAGAAACCCAAACAAGCCCTCACAGTAATGGAGCACTAGCTTCTCGTGCATAAATTACTATTGTTATAATTAATATTGTTTTTCTTTAATGTGTTAGGTTTTTCAAATAATCCGTCAACTCCAGAAACTTGAGTTTCTAAACCTGAGTGAAAACTTCTTGCCACATAAGATTGCAGATTTTACTCCATTACTAGGAGAACATCCAAAGGAGTCACTTCCTTCAGTAAAAAAATTGATCCTAAACAACACTGCTGTGCCACTGGAAACAGTGAACTCTTTGCTGAACTGTCTCAGTGGGTAGGTTTTGCTTCAGATAGACTGCTGTGCAAAAGGTCATAAAGTACAACAAACAAACCAACAAACATGCAAAAATGACAAAGAAAAGCAATAGTAAAAAGGAAAACAAGGGCTGACTACATTGTAATGCCTCCATGTTGCTAGTGTTATTTTTTGTTGCTCTGCTTGTTGTGCAGTGGGCTTATTTCTGAACAACCACAAGTTAAAATGCATGGACCAACACATGTAGCTTTACTCAACTGGAAACCCAACTCTTTCCTTGCACCTGTTATCCACTAACAGTTTTACACTGAAACTAACATTCTTGTGCAGAAAACCTTTTTTTTTTCTAATTACTTGAAAGAACAGTTGATATTAACCACTCCATTGGCCTAGACCAAAGGAAGAGTTGATAGGAAAGGGTTGGGTGGATATGCAGGTACCAAAAGGTGTGTACTAGGGTAAATTGCATAAAAAAAATTAAAAGAAAATTGTAAAACAACCTTTGGAGCTATTGCTGAAGAATAGAAAACAAGTGTGCAATACATTTCAATTTCAAAATTGGATGAAAATATCTCATGCAGATTAAGAATTTATAACCCTTCTCTATAACTCTTCACAAAAGTCTGACCCTGGTAGCCTTCAGAGCTTACATTAATTCTAACTGTCATTCATTGACATGAGATACATTTACATCCGTTGTTCCTTACCTCATTTCCATGTTAATGTTAGGGTGCAGGACCTATACCTCAGCCTGAATGGCTACGAGTGTATTCCAGATTGCCCAGAACAATATCCAAACATCAAGAGCTTGTCAATCAACAAACATGCCATCACACAATGGGAAGAGATTGGAAAAATTGGATTCGTTTTCCCAGGACTTGTGGAATTACGAATGTCTGAGTGCCCTCTGGAAAACATTTCTCCAAAAGAGGTTCCTCAACAGTTTCCAAACCTGAAGGCGTTGAACCTAAACAACACTCTGCTAGATACGTGGGAAGCCATTGATGCGCTTAAATCCTTCCCCATATTAACAGATGTCAGTGTGATGGGAATTCCACTGCTGTATCAGTACACTGACCAACACAAACGACAGCTTCTTATTGCAAGGCTCCCCAACATACAGAAACTAAACAAAACCAAGATATCTGCAGAGGAAAGAGAAGATGCTGAAAGATTTTTCATTCGACATCACATGGATGACGAAAGTCCACCTTTAAGGTATCTTGAATTGGTTGGAACTCATGGAATGTTGGACCGACTGGCAGAGGTCAACTTGAAAGCCAAAAAAACTGCTACAATATCTCTGATATTTGAAGATCAACCTGTCTGCGAGCAGGAAATTAACCTTATGCAGAGCACAACGAGCCTGAAAAAGTATGTCAGTGAGATCATCGGAATACCTCCTCCAGGCTTTAAGATACTTTACAAAGACGTGGGGTTGTGTTTTGGTCTCGAAGAAATGAAATATGGACCCAAAAAGCTCTACAGGTACAAGATTAAAGACGGAGATGAGATCCATGTGTGGAGCCGTTGACACGCAAAGATAGATTCCAAAGAGACTGTATTTACGTCTTTTTTTACATTAAGACTGTTCACTAGGAACTCTTAGTGATCATATGGAGTACAGCCAGTGTATCATTACCTCAAATAGGTTTCTGGTGTGGTGGGGGGCACTTGCTGCGGAAAGGGGGCGGGGGGGGGGGGGTTGGGGAAGCAAAAAAAAAATTAAAATTCCCTCTCTTGTTTAAGCAAAGTAAGGAAGTGCTCCCTCTCCCTTCCCCTTCGGCGTGTGAAGACTGGGGCGAGAAACAGCATAACTAATTCGAGAATCTGAGTAAACCTGTCTGGACCTCAGAATAGTAGTTGCAGAGGGATTTCTGAGTGGTTCGCCTGGTTCACACGTGCGAGGCAAATGCAAATGTAAATGTAGTACAAATGCATAGAACGTTCAAACGTCGCACGCAAAAGCAAATTGCGTATCCTACCTTCTTGAGGAAGGTACGATTCACAGGCGCAATCATTTTTTTTTATAAATGGCGTTCGATCGAGGCTTTTCGTCCCGATCGTCGTTTTGCCTTTGTTAACTATGCCTTGACTACTTTTCTTGGATAATGCAGTAGAGGCTGAAGATTTCGTGTGGATTGTAGATTTAGAAACTTTTTGGTTTTAAATGTTGGGTTTGATCTGTATCGAGAAACTTTCCTTTATTTATTCGCGATTCTTATCAGTCCTTTTGAGGCCTTTTTCAAGTTTTTCTTTCCGCGCATGTGTGAACCAGGTTGGACAGTCCACATGTATGTACTACTTTTGTATAGCACTCACTCGGCTTTTGCTAATTTTATATATATTATTATCAGCATATATCTACACTTGTAAGATACCGTACTTAATATACTTAATACACTTTAGTCGTCGTTGCAACTCTGTCTCACTACCTGTGCTAATTTTTAAACTTAGTCCTTCGTGAAAGCTTTCATGAGATGTTGACTGAAGACCCTGGAAGCCATTTTTCACTTGTGATTTGGCACCGCGTAGGTAATCAACTCGTGAATCGTGGCAATAATCGCTTACCTGTGTAAATTGTAAGGAAAAATTGTCATGATCTTCATCAAAGAGGTCCTTTCAAAATTGAGCTCAAGTCGATCGAAAATTGGACCATTAAATGAAAAATGCCTATGTCTCTGATCTGTATCGTAAAGCTGGCTTTACTAAACTTTTTTACGATTTAGAAATATACTGAGAAATATTGTTAAAAAAAAATTTGTTAATAGCTCCCATCATTAGTTGAGGAAACGCAAAAGTCATTGTTACAATGGGAAGGCTAGTCGTCATGGTGCCTCAAGACTCCAGCTTTACTTCAACTAGAACGCTGACCTAGAGGATTGCATTTCTTTCTGGTTTCCAATATTCATCATTTGGAAGAAAAACCAGGTGAAAATATGATTTTACCGTCCAATTATCATCATCTGTTGACAAATAGAAGGAATATAGAGACTGAAAAATATAACAGAAAATGTTAAACTATTGTGAAGTGGTATTAAGCTGTCTTGACTGAGAGGAAAATTCACCCACAGGACCCTTGCCAATGTCTGTTTAATTCAGGTACTAGGGAATTTCGCGAAGATAAAAAGGTTAATTTTTACCTCTGTGACAACGTCAGGCATCTGTTTTTTACATTGTGCATTATTAATATAAATGCCTCATTCGCGATTGTAAACAGGGAACTATATTTTTTCACATTTTTTCTTAGGAGATTAACAAACTTACCGTTGAATAATTAGAAAAAAAACCCCTCTTTTGATTTGATTATGTTCCTGAGATGCTCAGCACACTTGGCTTTTGACGAATGGACTGCATCACTTTTAATGCAAGATGCTTGAACCGTCACAAACGTTAAGCGAAATGTTATAAACAACTCTGTTTTCCAACATGTAACCAAAAGCTTATTTCGCATTAACGCTATCAGCACGAGTAGCATTAAGTATCTTTTTTTTCTTCAAAAGAAAGAGCATCCTTTTGCCACATGCAAAGCATCTTTCTTAAATAGCCCAAGTAACTTTTGTCACTTTGTCACACCAACCTATTTTCCTTCCCGCTCAATTCTCATGTCAAACACCAAAAAGTAGGGAATTGTACATGAGGCCATGCACTTTATTGCAAACACCTCAATATTTATCTCAATACTCAGTCAGATATGTCATTTTGACTCATGACTCAAAAAGTAAGACAATTCATTTAGAAGTGTCTCAGAATGATAAATTAATTACTACTTCTAGATTGTATCGTCGGAATTGCTTGGAAGGAACGTCACAAGCACTCCAAGCTGTGTTAGGTAATTATACCTGCGTGAGGTTGAGTGTTCGATAAATTACGCATAGTGATTTACAGTTTTGGACCTCATCTCTTGACTTAATCATTTTGAACAAAGTTTTATCAGCTCGCCTGAAAATGTTGTCAATTTGGTGTTAATGTTTGACGTCCAGTTAACGCAAACGTATTTAAATTTATCTCAATACTCAGTCAGATATGTCATTTTGACTCATGACTCAAAAAGTAAGACAATTCATTTAGAAGTGTCTCAGAATGATAAATGAATTAGTATTGTGTCCAAAAAAAAAAAAAAGAATCTAATCATGAATTAAAATGAGATGATGACACCACAAAGAGCAAAGGTGATTGTTTTGTGGTTTTCTCTTTTGATAATTTCCCCTGAATTTCAGTGTAATTGGTCAAACAATCTCATGGGACTTAAAGTCCTGAATTTTATCTTCAGGATCTCAGAGCAATTGACTGGAAAGCTATCTGCAATAAATGCAATGACCTAAATGAATTAATCCAGAGGACCGTATATACTGTTCAGTTTATTGCTCATAAACACGAAACAAAGAAGCTTACGTCCAGAGGTAAGAAAAGGCAAATCACTAAACCATGGATAACTAATGGTATGACTAAACCCATAAAAACCAAACAAAATATGTACAGAACATATTTTCACTTAAAGACCTTGTTATAAAGGCAGAATATAAAAATGTAAAATGTAAACAAACTTAACAAAGCAAAGACGTACTACAGTAAGCACTCTCAAAGGACCTTAATCTACACAAGCATAAATTAAAAGCCACATTGAATATATATCCTTATATGTTATTTGCTGGCTGGAAGGTCCGTATGGTGAAAAACTGTGACCGAGGTCTTGAAAATGCTGCCCAAGGCCTACCAAATATATTAATAAATCACCAGCTTCAAGCTTCATTGCGTCTCCATTCTGCAAACTTTTCCAAAATCTAAATGAAAATAAACCCACAGGATATTCCAAACAAGTTAATAAAAATTGCATCTAAACCACTATCAATAACCTTTACTTATATTGACATCCAATCTATTGCAAATTATGTGGCGCCAAATGCTTTTAAAATATCAGGAGTTACCCCCATACAAAAGAGCAGCGAGACGGCTACCGACATCGGAAATTATAGACCAGTTACGGCACTTTCCTCCTTCAGTAAAGTGCTCCAACGATTAACGTATGATCAGTTAAACTCTTTTCTGGAAAAAAAAATTAAATGATATCATACATAAAGACAACTTTGGCTACAGAAAATATTCTGCTTTCCAAACTATACGCGTATGGAATTAAAGGAAGTTCAATCAAATGGTTTGAAAGTTTCTTCTGTAATCGTACTCAGTATGTAAAAATAAATGATGTTGAATCTAGTATAGAAACTATTATATTTGGGCTACCCCAGGGTTCTACTCTGGAACCATTGCTATTGCTTCTTTATATTAATGACTTACCAAGTTCATGTAAGCTTTCTTTCAGAATAACTACTGAGGTAATCTGGTATTATCAACTGAATTAATATCTTAAATTAACCACCGTAAAGAGTTTCAAAGCTCAAGTTTAGAGCGTTAGCCCTTCAACAGAGCGAATGATTAAGGGCTAACGCTCGAAACGTCAGCTTTGAAACTCTTAATGGTGACCAGTTTACGTTATCAACTCAGTTGATAATACCAAATTAACTTGTTATACTCTCCCACCGACGCAGCACCACAGTTTCTTTAGAAGCTTATCCCCTTTATTCATTTTTCTTTAGAATATTTGCGTATGATACTGACACTTTTCTTACCATTGAAAGTCATAAAGAGCTTAAATCTATTCTCAAAGTACTGCGCGATCAAAAAACTATCTGTAAATTTCAAAAAGACAAATTATATGCCGATAGCATCAACAAGGATAAAAGTACATTTGAATATCTCCAATGTTGATTGTAAAAGTTATATTAAGTATCTGCATGGGTGTATACATTGATAAGCATTTAAAATGGGACATGTCAATAATAATTTAACAAAAATGTTGGTATAATTAATAGGCTAAGACATTATCCTGACCTCTCTTTGCTCCAAAAAATATAATACACTCTCATCTACACATATTCAAACTATGGCCTTGCCAGCTGAGGAGGTGCATACAAAACTTAATTAAACAAAATCTGTATTAAGCGAAGCGAATGTATATAAAGCATAATTTCTCACAGCAGACAACTGTTAACCCTTACTATAATCATCTTGGAACCTTGAAGTTTGAAAATATTTACAAACTAACAATATATTGCTTTGTTCCTTTCAAATTAAGAATGACCAAAGTAGAATCCTAGTGGCACTATCAAATACCCATATATTTGCAGCAGAGGTTCACTGGTTTAACACCAGATTCGCTGAGAACCAAAATTTCTTTCAGCCATCAGCATGTCTTAAGTATAGTATAGCTGTATTGAAATTTGCTTTAGCTAAAATTTGGGAAACCATTCTACCTGGAATTAAAAGTACCTCCTCTGCAGCTTTTAAAAGGTAGTACAAAAGGCTATTGTTGACTACTCAAGACTAAGATACATGTGTTTGTATGCGTGTATGTATACATTTACCTATTTATTTTTTTTACAATTATCCATTTTAATATCATATTTGTCAAGCTACCATTTAACTCTTTTATTAATGGTTGAAAATTGAATATACAACCGTTTTCAAAAACGTTGCAATTTAAAGCAACAAGTATATTTTCATTTCCCATCAAAAAGAAACACCTTTTAAAGGAAAAAGAAAAGCTTTATATATTTTATATAGATTTCCCAATCACAAAGTTTTT